GGGCCTCACGTCACACATCCTCCTGCTTGGTTACCTGCTCGTCCCAGGTAGGGCTCCATTCAGTCAGGTGCTCCCCGCGCTCCGTGTACTGGTTCATGCTCGCCGCGCAGGGCCTCACGTCACACATCCTCCTGCTTGGTTACCTGCTCGTCCCAGGTAGGGCTCCATTCAGTCAGGTGCTCCCCGCGCTCCGTGTACTGGTTCATGCTCGCCGCGCAGGGCCTCACGTCACACATCCTCCTGCTTGGTTACCTGCTCGTCCCAGGTAGGGCTCCATTCAGTCAGGTGCTCCCCGCGCTCCGTGTACTGGTTCATGCTCGCCGCGCAGGGCCTCACGTCACACATCCTCCTGCTTGGTTACCTGCTCGTCCCAGGTAGGGCTCCATTCAGTCAGGTGCTCCCCGCGCTCCGTGTACTGGTTCATGCTCGCCGCGCAGGGCCTCACGTCACACATCCTCCTGCTTGGTTACCTGCTCGTCCCAGGTAGGGCTCCATTCAGTCAGGTGCTCCCCGCGCTCCGTGTACTGGTTCATGCTCGCCGCGCAGGGCCTCACGTCACACATCCTCCTGCTTGGTTACCTGCTCGTCCCAGGTAGGGCTCCATTCAGTCAGGTGCTCCCCGCGCTCCGTGTACTGGTTCATGCTCGCCGCGCAGGGCCTCACGTCACACATCCTCCTGCTTGGTTACCTGCTCGTCCCAGGTAGGGCTCCATTCAGTCAGGTGCTCCCCGCGCTCCGTGTACTGGTTCATGCTCGCCGCGCAGGGCCTCACGTCACACATCCTCCTGCTTGGTTACCTGCTCGTCCCAGGTAGGGCTCCATTCAGTCAGGTGCTCCCCGCGCTCCGTGTACTGGTTCATGCTCGCCGCGCAGGGCCTCACGTCACACATCCTCCTGCTTGGTTACCTGCTCGTCCCAGGTAGGGCTCCATTCAGTCAGGTGCTCCCCGCGCTCCGTGTACTGGTTCATGCTCGCCGCGCAGGGCCTCACGTCACACATCCTCCTGCTTGGTTACCTGCTCGTCCCAGGTAGGGCTCCATTCAGTCAGGTGCTCCCCGCGCTCCGTGTACTGGTTCATGCTCGCCGCGCAGGGCCTCACGTCACACATCCTCCTGCTTGGTTACCTGCTCGTCCCAGGTAGGGCTCCATTCAGTCAGGTGCTCCCCGCGCTCCGTGTACTGGTTCATGCTCGCCGCGCAGGGCCTCACGTCACACATCCTCCTGCTTGGTTACCTGCTCGTCCCAGGTAGGGCTCCATTCAGTCAGGTGCTCCCCGCGCTCCGTGTACTGGTTCATGCTCGCCGCGCAGGGCCTCACGTCACACATCCTCCTGCTTGGTTACCTGCTCGTCCCAGGTAGGGCTCCATTCAGTCAGGTGCTCCCCGCGCTCCGTGTACTGGTTCATGCTCGCCGCGCAGGGCCTCACGTCACACATCCTCCTGCTTGGTTACCTGCTCGTCCCAGGTAGGGCTCCATTCAGTCAGGTGCTCCCCGCGCTCCGTGTACTGGTTCATGCTCGCCGCGCAGGGCCTCACGTCACACATCCTCCTGCTTGGTTACCTGCTCGTCCCAGGTAGGGCTCCATTCAGTCAGGTGCTCCCCGCGCTCCGTGTACTGGTTCATGCTCGCCGCGCAGGGCCTCACGTCACACATCCTCCTGCTTGGTTACCTGCTCGTCCCAGGTAGGGCTCCATTCAGTCAGGTGCTCCCCGCGCTCCGTGTACTGGTTCATGCTCGCCGCGCAGGGCCTCACGTCACACATCCTCCTGCTTGGTTACCTGCTCGTCCCAGGTAGGGCTCCATTCAGTCAGGTGCTCCCCGCGCTCCGTGTACTGGTTCATGCTCGCCGCGCAGGGCCTCACGTCACACATCCTCCTGCTTGGTTACCTGCTCGTCCCAGGTAGGGCTCCATTCAGTCAGGTGCTCCCCGCGCTCCGTGTACTGGTTCATGCTCGCCGCGCAGGGCCTCACGTCACACATCCTCCTGCTTGGTTACCTGCTCGTCCCAGGTAGGGCTCCATTCAGTCAGGTGCTCCCCGCGCTCCGTGTACTGGTTCATGCTCGCCGCGCAGGGCCTCACGTCACACATCCTCCTGCTTGGTTACCTGCTCGTCCCAGGTAGGGCTCCATTCAGTCAGGTGCTCCCCGCGCTCCGTGTACTGGTTCATGCTCGCCGCGCAGGGCCTCACGTCACACATCCTCCTGCTTGGTTACCTGCTCGTCCCAGGTAGGGCTCCATTCAGTCAGGTGCTCCCCGCGCTCCGTGTACTGGTTCATGCTCGCCGCGCAGGGCCTCACGTCACACATCCTCCTGCTTGGTTACCTGCTCGTCCCAGGTAGGGCTCCATTCAGTCAGGTGCTCCCCGCGCTCCGTGTACTGGTTCATGCTCGCCGCGCAGGGCCTCACGTCACACATCCTCCTGCTTGGTTACCTGCTCGTCCCAGGTAGGGCTCCATTCAGTCAGGTGCTCCCCGCGCTCCGTGTACTGGTTCATGCTCGCCGCGCAGGGCCTCACGTCACACATCCTCCTGCTTGGTTACCTGCTCGTCCCAGGTAGGGCTCCATTCAGTCAGGTGCTCCCCGCGCTCCGTGTACTGGTTCATGCTCGCCGCGCAGGGCCTCACGTCACACATCCTCCTGCTTGGTTACCTGCTCGTCCCAGGTAGGGCTCCATTCAGTCAGGTGCTCCCCGCGCTCCGTGTACTGGTTCATGCTCGCCGCGCAGGGCCTCACGTCACACATCCTCCTGCTTGGTTACCTGCTCGTCCCAGGTAGGGCTCCATTCAGTCAGGTGCTCCCCGCGCTCCGTGTACTGGTTCATGCTCGCCGCGCAGGGCCTCACGTCACACATCCTCCTGCTTGGTTACCTGCTCGTCCCAGGTAGGGCTCCATTCAGTCAGGTGCTCCCCGCGCTCCGTGTACTGGTTCATGCTCGCCGCGCAGGGCCTCACGTCACACATCCTCCTGCTTGGTTACCTGCTCGTCCCAGGTAGGGCTCCATTCAGTCAGGTGCTCCCCGCGCTCCGTGTACTGGTTCATGCTCGCCGCGCAGGGCCTCACGTCACACATCCTCCTGCTTGGTTACCTGCTCGTCCCAGGTAGGGCTCCATTCAGTCAGGTGCTCCCCGCGCTCCGTGTACTGGTTCATGCTCGCCGCGCAGGGCCTCACGTCACACATCCTCCTGCTTGGTTACCTGCTCGTCCCAGGTAGGGCTCCATTCAGTCAGGTGCTCCCCGCGCTCCGTGTACTGGTTCATGCTCGCCGCGCAGGGCCTCACGTCACACATCCTCCTGCTTGGTTACCTGCTCGTCCCAGGTAGGGCTCCATTCAGTCAGGTGCTCCCCGCGCTCCGTGTACTGGTTCATGCTCGCCGCGCAGGGCCTCACGTCACACATCCTCCTGCTTGGTTACCTGCTCGTCCCAGGTAGGGCTCCATTCAGTCAGGTGCTCCCCGCGCTCCGTGTACTGGTTCATGCTCGCCGCGCAGGGCCTCACGTCACACATCCTCCTGCTTGGTTACCTGCTCGTCCCAGGTAGGGCTCCATTCAGTCAGGTGCTCCCCGCGCTCCGTGTACTGGTTCATGCTCGCCGCGCAGGGCCTCACGTCACACATCCTCCTGCTTGGTTACCTGCTCGTCCCAGGTAGGGCTCCATTCAGTCAGGTGCTCCCCGCGCTCCGTGTACTGGTTCATGCTCGCCGCGCAGGGCCTCACGTCACACATCCTCCTGCTTGGTTACCTGCTCGTCCCAGGTAGGGCTCCATTCAGTCAGGTGCTCCCCGCGCTCCGTGTACTGGTTCATGCTCGCCGCGCAGGGCCTCACGTCACACATCCTCCTGCTTGGTTACCTGCTCGTCCCAGGTAGGGCTCCATTCAGTCAGGTGCTCCCCGCGCTCCGTGTACTGGTTCATGCTCGCCGCGCAGGGCCTCACGTCACACATCCTCCTGCTTGGTTACCTGCTCGTCCCAGGTAGGGCTCCATTCAGTCAGGTGCTCCCCGCGCTCCGTGTACTGGTTCATGCTCGCCGCGCAGGGCCTCACGTCACACATCCTCCTGCTTGGTTACCTGCTCGTCCCAGGTAGGGCTCCATTCAGTCAGGTGCTCCCCGCGCTCCGTGTACTGGTTCATGCTCGCCGCGCAGGGCCTCACGTCACACATCCTCCTGCTTGGTTACCTGCTCGTCCCAGGTAGGGCTCCATTCAGTCAGGTGCTCCCCGCGCTCCGTGTACTGGTTCATGCTCGCCGCGCAGGGCCTCACGTCACACATCCTCCTGCTTGGTTACCTGCTCGTCCCAGGTAGGGCTCCATTCAGTCAGGTGCTCCCCGCGCTCCGTGTACTGGTTCATGCTCGCCGCGCAGGGCCTCACGTCACACATCCTCCTGCTTGGTTACCTGCTCGTCCCAGGTAGGGCTCCATTCAGTCAGGTGCTCCCCGCGCTCCGTGTACTGGTTCATGCTCGCCGCGCAGGGCCTCACGTCACACATCCTCCTGCTTGGTTACCTGCTCGTCCCAGGTAGGGCTCCATTCAGTCAGGTGCTCCCCGCGCTCCGTGTACTGGTTCATGCTCGCCGCGCAGGGCCTCACGTCACACATCCTCCTGCTTGGTTACCTGCTCGTCCCAGGTAGGGCTCCATTCAGTCAGGTGCTCCCCGCGCTCCGTGTACTGGTTCATGCTCGCCGCGCAGGGCCTCACGTCACACATCCTCCTGCTTGATTACCTCCTCGTCCCAGGTAGGGCTCCATTCAGTCAGGTGCTCCCCGCGCTCCGTGTACTGGTTCATGCTCGCCGCGCAGGGCCTCACGTCACACATCCTCCTGCTTGGTTACCTGCTCGTCCCAGGTAGGGCTCCATTCAGTCAGGTGCTCCCCGCGCAGCGTGTATTGGTTCATGCTCGCCGCGCAGGGCCTCACGTCGCACATCCTCCTGCTTGGTTACCTGCTCGTCCCAGGTAGGGCTCCATTCAGTTAGGTGCTCCCCGCGCAGCGTGTACTGGTTCATGCTCGCCGCGCAGGGCCTCACGTCGCACATCCTCCTTCTCGGCTTTCTGCTCGTCCCAGATAGGTTTCCATTCGATTTGATGCTCGTCGCACAGGGCCCCCCGTCGCACACCCCCCGCCTCGTCTACTTGCTCGTTCCAGGTAGGTTGTCGCAGTCGAATAGATACTCGTCGCAGAGAGGTCGTCGCAGTCGCCTGCAGCTCGTTCCAGGTGGGCCGTCGCAGCGACAAACTGCTTGATTCTGGTGCTGTGCTGGCCGTTGACGCGACTTCATGGATGTCGAATCCCTACCGTCCATCGAGTTCGCGCGTCGCCCAATTGCCGGCGCCTCTTCCCCAACCCGTCTCATGCCTCGCTCTACCCGTTGCCAACGCGCCTTCGTCCCGTTGTTCCTCTCCACTAATCTTTTCCCTCCTGCCTCTTCCCCCCTAACCCTTCCCCCTGCGCTTCCCCGTCGCCACATTCCCCTCCCTTAGGTCTCGTGCTAGGTCACGAGTTTCTACACCAGCTGCTCTCCACCAATCCCGTGCTCCGAGCGCTGCTCGTCTTAGGCGGCGTGGTCGGCGTGGGCGGCAGCAGGGAGGGCGTCGAAACCACTATATGGGGGGTTGCTCTTAGCGGAGCAGGAGTTGCCATGGTAGGGTTATACATAGGGGAGGGGCTGTGGCTTGCGCCCCCTGCGCGCAGGCGGAGGGTCGGGTTCGGGCTCGCGGGGGGGCTGCTGCTGCTGCAGGCGCTGCAGTTGGCGTTCGGCGGGCGGAACCCGCTGCTCGCGCGCTGGTGGGGGCTGCTGCTGCTGGCGGTGCTCCCCGGCGCGTGGGTGGCGGCGCTGCTGCTGTATGAAGAGTTGCGGGACTGGGAAGGGGAGGAGGAGGAGGGTCGGCGGATGGTGGGCGGGAGCGGGAGCGCGGAGGGCGCGCAGGGGTACTGGCCGGCTGGGCGCGGTGGGCAGAGGTTGGAAGGGACTGTGTTGAGTGAGGATGACTGGAGTGTGGAGTCGGAGGGAGGGTGGCGGGCGGCAGAGGAGGCGGGGTTGAAGCAGTGGGATTCTGTGAACGTGTTGAATGAGGGAGGCGTTAAGAGCGGTGAGCGGTGCATGGAGATGGTTGGAGACGGTCAGGAAAGGGCGGAGTTGAGGGCAGCAAATGCAAGTTTCGTAGCAGTTACGGTTGATGCGGCCCAAGAAGAGATGCAGCAGCAGCAGCAGCAGATGGGACAGCAACAACGGGAGGTCATTCCAGCATCAGTAAAAGCCCAAGCTGCCGAACCTGCTGCTGCCCGCCCATTCAGCACAGGCTCGGGATGCCTTGGAACGTCCTCCGAGCCTAACAGCCAGGGTTGGGGGGGCAGCGTGGACGAATCGCACGACGCCTCGTCATCGGCCTATGACAGATCACGCACTGTATCCGCCTCGGCAGCAGCAGGTGCGGGAGGGAATGCTGCCACAGGACCTGTCTGGGTGGCTGATATGCTGGGGGGGTTTATGGAGGAAGAGGAGGAGGTGGAGAACGGCGGGACTGTGGTGATGAGTGAAAGTGATAATGACAGTAACGCTGGGGCGAGTGGAGTGGCGTGTGCGTGCCATTCCCCACACGGGTGTGAGTGTATAGGAGTGCTCTGTGCGGACGGGACGCTTGGGGGTAAATGCAATTCCGAGGTAGAGGAAAGGGGAGTACCAGTGGAAAGAGCGGCTGTGAGAGAAGGGGAGGGGAGGGAGTGTACAGGATATGGAGGGAAGGCGGGAGCTGAGGTGCAGGGGAATGGGGAGTCAGGTCGGCAGGGAGCAGCAGGGCATGACTCGGACGAGCAGATCGAGGGACATGGGCCAGAGCAGCAAGACGGGCGCTGCAGCGAGGGTGCGCCTAAATGTAACGAGGGTTCGCTAGAAGGCAATGAGGGATACCCTGAGTGGCGGGAGCCTGCGCGGGGAGTGCTGGGTTACTTTGGGTTGGAGATTGGTTCTGTGGAGACGTCTGAAGGGAAGCTCAGAGCTGAGTGGCGCAGCAGCCGGCAGTGGGAGACGACTGTGGAGCTTAGCGAGTGCGACAGTATGGGGTACAGGGCCGACGGCCGTGTGGAGGGGTATGGGGCAGGGAACGGAGGAGGAAGAAGGGGAGAGGGGGGACGGGCAGAGGGAGGGGGAGGGGGAGGTGAAGGGGGGATGGAGACGGTTGACGGAGCAGGAGGAGGTTGTGAAGGGTTGAGTGTGGTTCGGGTGCGCAGCAGAGAACGCAAGTGCCATGACACGTGCCGGAACCTGCCTGAAACGGGCCAGAGTGCGGGATGGAAGGCTGCAGCAGTACTGCCGTGGGAGGGTCCGTGGGACAGACTGGGCAGTTTGGACAGAGCAGCTATGGCTCGAGCAACACTGGCTAGAGCAGCAGACGACGAAATGCTCCCTTTCCGGCAGAAACGCGCTCACTGGACGAAGCACGGGTGCCTGCGCACGTGTCAAGCCGCCATTGGCCATGGCAGCCTCATGTTCCTCTGCCATTGGCTGCTCTCCTCGCCCTACCTGATCCCCAGATGGCTCTCTGCTCCCCCTGCCTGGGGTTTCATCTCTGTAGTGTCACTCGCTTTAGGTATAGTGCTCGCCGCAGAAGTTCTGCGTATGCATATTCCTAAGCGCGTGCATGCTATAGTGGCTTTAACTCTTGCTGTCTCTGGCTGCATCTGGTTGCTTCTCTCCGGGCCGTTCCACCCCATACCTGCGCTTCAGGCTCGGCACGAGCCTGGTTCACGGTTCTGGCTGTCGTTTTACCAAGCCAGCGGGTATGTGTCAGACGAGCCTCAGGATCTGGTCTACCTTCCTGGGCCTGCTACCGGACCTGTTGCCGGACCTGTTGCCGGACCTGCTGCTGTTGCCTCGACATCGCAAGTTAGCACAACCACATTCTCCGAACCAGCAGCAGTTGCAGCCAGAGCAGCAGCAGCCGAAGCTGCAGGTTTCCGATCCTATCTTCTTGGTGCTCCGCTCCTAGCCATGGCAATCCCGAGCCTGTGGGTTGTGCTGGCACAAAATATGGGTGGGGCGTATCCGGGCCTAGGAGCAGCAGGTTCGGCAATCTGGTATGTTGTCCTGCTGGTTTGGAGTGCAGCCTTGGTGGCATACGAAAAGCTCGGACCTCTTGGCTTGCTTCGGGGGAGCTTGCCGGTCCTAATGGTGGTGTCGATGGGAGGAGTGGCTTGGGGAATATGGCGGGCCCCCGAACCTAAAGGCGAGGGACGGCGGGGCGACCTGGCGGTTCGGACGGAGTGGTGGAGGCTCGGGCGGCTCGCGTGGGGCAGCGGCGTCCCGGATCGAATGGTTAGGCTCGGTGCCCTTATCCTTGTTGCGTTCCTCATGGTTCTCTCACAGGGAACCTTGTCATTTCGGTGTAAATAACAGGGAGAGCTGGGAAACAAAGGAAGGGAAAACCAGGGGAAACAAGCAACACGAGGTGCAATGCAAACATGCATGGTTTTTGCCCAAGGGTTCCTTTGGCCTCTCGCTTCGTCTCTTGCTGCTCAGTCTCCCTTCTCCCTTGGTCCATTCAAGCAAGGCATGTGGAAGTCTGTTGCGGGCACCGCTCGTGCCCATGCTTTGCCACTTGAGTTTATCCCTTGCCATTGCTCCTGCGACGTGCATGCTCGTGAGTGTTACAGTGGCAACAGAATTGACCTGTACATACCCTGTGAGTTGACCCATGGTTTGGTCTAGGCGCAATAGCCTGCTGCGTTTCGTCTGGGCTGTCTAGCTGCTCCTTGCTTGTGTGGGCCTTGTTGTATTCATCCATTCATACATATACTGGCTTCATCACTATTTTTCACAAATTCTCACAAATTTACCCCGGTTTCTTTCCGTCTCTTGGAACTGATTTCCGGAATTTCACCCCTTGACGAACCTGCACCACAGAATGCTACTCTTCCATGCACCACTTGCATCACTCACATGCATCACATGCACCACATGCACCACATGCACCACATGCGTCACATGCATCACATGCATCACATGCACCACATGCACCACATGCACCACATGCATCACATGCACCACATGCACCACATGCACCACATGCGTCACATGCATCACATGCATCACATGCACCACATGCACCACATGCACCACATGCATCACATGCACCACATGCACCACATGCATCACATGCACCACATGCACCACTTGCATCACATGCACCACATGCGTCACATGCATCACATGCACCACATTCACCACATGCATCACATGCATCACATGCACCACATGCACCACATGCGTCACATGCATCACATGCACCACATGCACCACATGCATCACATGCACCACATGCACCACATGCGTCACATGCATCACATGCATCACATGCACCACATGCACCACATGCACCACATGCATCACATGCACCACATGCACCACATGCATCACATGCACCACATGCACCACATGCGTCACATGCATCACATGCATCACATGCACCACATGCACCACATGCACCACATGCATCACATGCACCACATGCACCACATGCATCACATGCACCACATGCACCACTTGCATCACATGCACCACATGCGTCACATGCATCACATGCACCACATTCACCACATGCATCACATGCATCACATGCACCACATGCACCACATGCGTCACATGCATCACATGCACCACATGCACCACATGCATCACATGCACCACATGCACCACATGCGTCACATGCATCACATGCATCACATGCACCACATGCACCACATGCACCACATGCATCACATGCACCACATGCACCACATGCATCACATGCACCACATGCACCACATGCGTCACATGCATCACATGCATCACATGCACCACATGCATCACATGCACCACATGCACCACATGCATCACATGCACCACATGCACCACTTGCATCACATGCACCACATGCGTCACATGCATCACATGCACCACATTCACCACATGCATCACATGCATCACATGCACCACATGCACCACATGCGTCACATGCATCACATGCACCACATGCACCACATGCATCACATGCACCACATGCACCACATGCGTCACATGCATCACATGCATCACATGCACCACATGCACCACATGCACCACATGCATCACATGCACCACATGCACCACATGCATCACATGCACCACATGCACCACATGCGTCACATGCATCACATGCATCACATGCACCACATGCGCCACATGCACCACATGCATCACATGCACCACATGCACCACATGCATCACATGCACCACATGCACCACTTGCATCACATGCACCACATGCGTCACATGCATCACATGCACCACATTCACCACATGCATCACATGCATCACATGCACCACATGCACCACATGCGTCACATGCATCACATGCACCACATGCACCACATGCGTCACATGCATCACATGCACCACATGCACCACATGCATCACATGCACCACATGCACCACATGCGTCACATGCATCACATGCATCACATGCACCACATGCACCACATGCACCACATGCATCACATGCACCACATGCACCACATGCATCACATGCACCACATGCACCACATGCGTCACATGCACCACATGCACCACATGCACCACATGCATCACATGCACCACATGCACCACATGCATCACATGCACCACATGCACCACATGCGTCACATGCATCACATGCATCACATGCACCACATGCACCACATGCACCACATGCACCACATTCACCACATGCATCACATGCATCACATGCACCACATGCACCACATGCGTCACATGCATCACATGCACCACATGCACCACATGCATCACATGCACCACATGCACCACATGCACCACATGCACCACATGCATCACATGCACCACATGCACCACTTGCATCACATGCACCACATGCGTCACATGCATCACATGCACCACATTCACCACATGCATCACATGCATCACATGCACCACATGCACCACATGCGTCACATGCATCACATGCACCACATGCACCACATGCATCACATGCACCACATGCACCACATGCGTCACATGCATCACATGCATCACATGCACCACATGCACCACATGCACCACATGCACCACATGCATCACATGCACCACATGCACCACATGCACCACATGCGTCACATGCATCACATGCATCACATGCACCACATGCACCACATGCACCACATGCATCACATGCACCACATGCACCACATGCATCACATGCACCACATGCACCACTTGCATCACATGCACCACATGCGTCACATGCATCACATGCACCACATTCACCACATGCATCACATGCATCACATGCACCACATGCACCACATGCGTCACATGCATCACATGCACCACATGCACCACATGCATCACATGCACCACATGCACCACATGCGTCACATGCATCACATGCATCACATGCACCACATGCACCACATGCACCACATGCATCACATGCACCACATGCACCACATGCATCACATGCACCACATGCACCACATGCGTCACATGCATCACATGCATCACATGCACCACATGCACCACATGCACCACATGCATCACATGCACCACATGCACCACTTGCATCACATGCACCACATGCGTCACATGCATCACATGCACCACATTCACCACATGCATCACATGCATCACATGCACCACATGCACCACATGCGTCACATGCATCACATGCACCACATGCACCACATGCATCACATGCACCACATGCACCACATGCGTCACATGCATCACATGCATCACATGCACCACATGCACCACATGCACCACATGCATCACATGCACCACATGCACCACATGCATCACATGCACCACATGCACCACATGCGTCACATGCATCACATGCATCACATGCACCACATGCACCACATGCACCACATGCATCACATGCACCACATGCACCACATGCACCACATGCACCACATGCACCACATGCGTCACATGCATCACATGCATCACATGCACCACATGCGTCACATGCATCACATGCATCACATGCACCACATGCGTCACATGCATCACATGCATCACATGCACCACACACACCACCATCGCCTTTGGTCCTCTCTTTCTGCCTCCTCCTCAGTCCAACTCCCCTCAATTCCTTCCTCCGCCTGCCTCTCCTCCCCCTCCTTCTTGGCCCTCATTCACCTCCTCCTAATCCTTCCTCTCCCTCACCTCTTCTCCGCTTTGTTTCCCCGTCCTGTTCCCCCTACCCCTTTTCCTGCCGGGACTCCCTACCACAACAGGCGCTATTAGCTCTTCTGCTGATTCTCCTCCTCCTCCTCCCCTTCCCCCTCCTCCTTCAATACGCCTACGCCCCTTCCTCCTCCCCAACCTTCGTCAGCAGCTTCGGCAGCAGCAGCAGCAGCAGCAGCAGCAGCACCAGCTCCGGCAGTTCTGGCAGTGCCGAGCCTGGCTCGGAGGCTTGGGTGCAGCTTCGGGTGCTCAACTTCAATGTGCAGCAGGGGTTCAGCCGTGCAGGTTCAGTGAACCTGGACGCCATCGAGCATGTCATATGGCAGCAGAAGCCGGACATTGTACTGTAAGTGGACAATGCAAATGTACTGTGAAAATAGGGCCCTACTCTGTACAATTCAGCCGTGCAGGTTCAGTGAACCTGGACGCCATCGAGCATGTGATCCGGCAGCAGAAGCCGGACATTGTATTGTAAGTATTGTACTGTACGCGCCACTGTGCAAAACGTATTGTTGGTATGGGCCCCTACAGTGTACAGTTCAGCCGTGCAAGTTCAGTGAATCTGGACGCCGTTGAGCGTATGATCTGGCAGCAGAAGCCGGACATTGTATTGTGAGTACACATAGGTCACCATGCTGACTGTGCTTTATTCAGCTTGACGATTGGCGATGGTGACCCTGATTTACTGTCGTTCACCATTCTTTCCACGTGGGTCACCATGCACATGACCCATGCACATGACCCATGCACATTATTGGCACACGGCAATGCTGGAGTCGATGACTCGCATTCTTTCAACGCGGCTCAGCGTGCTCTCCTGATTGGCACATTTGTTTTCATTCTAATATTTCGACACCGCCCCCCCATGGCAGGCTGCAGGAGTCGGACACCATGCACATGATCCGGGGCAGTGTTGACTCTGTCTGACTATGTCTGACCATGTTTGACTGACCTTGACCTTTTTTTGCCTTCTCCTTCTCCATTCTTGTCCCCCATGGCAGGCTACAGGAGTCGGACACAATGCACATGATCCACGGCAATGTTGACATGGTGCAGTACCTCGCAACATGGCTGGGCATGCACGCGCGGTCCGCCCCTCCCGCCCGCCACCAGTCCTGGGGCTGTGCCATCCTCTCGCGCTTCCCCCTCCTCTCCGCCTCGCCCTCCCAGTCCCTCCCCTCCCCTCATGGCGAGCTCGCCTGCTTTCAGCACGCAGTGATTCTCCTAGGCGCTGGTAACATGCTTCCCGGAGGTGGTAACATGGTTACCAACAGGGGCGCAGCTGGGTGGGGTAACCAGACGAGTGGGGTCGTGTCTGGTTACCCTGTTCACATCATGAACGCGCATTTCAGCGATCTTGAGGTGGATATTCGGTTGGAGGCTGAGCGGGCGGCGTCGCTTGTCCGTAGTGTGCTGCAGGCGGGAAAGGGCGGGGAGCATGGTGCGGGAGGGGTGGGTGAGAAGGAGGATAAAGCGGAGAGAGAGGAGAGGAGGACTCAAGAAGTGGGATTCCCAAGGGGAATGGGAACAGCAGGTGAACTGTCAGGTGGATTGGCAGGTGAACTCCCAGGGGAACCGTCAGGTGAATTGTCAGGTGAAGCAGACGATGGAACAGCAGATTTTGCTTCACATTCCCCCGTGCATGATGTGGTGGAAGCAGAGTCAATGGCAGCAGAGTCAGGGACGGCAGCCGTGCCAGGGGCAGCAGTAGCTGCTGGAGCAGTACCAAAGAGCAGCTCATTCAGTGGCATGCAAGCAACAAGCAGTGCAGCCGCGGATGAGACTGAGGAAGATGCAGGAGGGGAAGAGGCTTTGCAGGATCCTGTTTCAGGGGCAGACGGCGAGGCAGCAACAGTGGCAGCAGCGGCAGCAGCAGCAGGGGCAGAGGGAGCAGCAGGTTCGGTGGCAGCACCAGCGTCAATAGCAGCTTCAGACGCACAAGCAGCATCAGCATCACACGAAGATTCGGGCTCACAAGCAGCATCAGCATCACAAGCAGCACCAGCCCCTACATCCACCACCAGCCACCCACTCGCTTCATCCCTCCCCTCCACCCCCACTCCCCCACCAACACCCTCCCCTTCTCACTCTCCCACCCCCACCGCCCTCATCTTTGGAGGAGACTTCAATCTTCCCCCGCTCTCTCCGCCCTACCTCACTCTCCTCGCCCCGGGTCTCGTAGACTCAGAGGCTGAGAGGATGGGCGCGTGGAAGAGCATGGGGGACCGGGACCCGGGGGCAGGGTATGTGTTTGTGTCGCGGGGGAACGTGGAGTGTGAGGCGTGGGCAGAGCCGAGGTATGACCAGAGGAAGACGTCTGATGGGTACCCTGTTGTGGTGGATGTGAGGGTCACTCTCCCTGCTGCTGCTGTGTGAGAAGGGGCAGTAGGAGTGTGGTTTCTGGCACAGGATGCGGAGTATGGAAGGTGGTTTTAGGGGAGAAGAGGAGGAACGTGGAGTGTGAGGCGTGGGCAGAGCCGAGGTATGACCAGAGGAAGACTTCTGATGGGTACCCTGTTGTGGTGGATGTGAGGGTCACTCTCCCTGCTGCTGCTGCTGCTGTGTGAAAGTCCTGTGTGAAAGAAACAGCAGGAGTGTGCAAGGTGGTTTCCAAGGGAGGGGCTGGGTGGAGTGTGAGGCGTGGCGGGGTGACTTTTGAGTCGACTCAAAAGTGTGCAAGGTGGTTTCCAAGGGAGGGGCTGGGTGGAGTGTGAGGCGTGGCGGGGTGACTTTTGAGTCGACTCAAAAGTGTGCAAGGTGGTTTCCAAGGGAGGGGCTGGGTGGAGTGTGAGGCGTGGCGGGGTGACTTTTGAGTTGACTCAAAAGTGTGCAAGGCGGTTTCCAAGGGAGGGGCTGGGTGGAGTGTGAGGCGTGGCGGGGTGACTTTTGAGTCGACTCAAAAGTGTGCAAGGTGGTTTCCAAGGGAGGGGCTGGGTGGAGTGTGAGGCGTGGCGGGAACCGAGGTACGACCAGAGGAAGATGTCTGATGGGTTTCCTGCGGTGGTGAATGTGCGGGTGTCGCTCCGTGCTGCTGTACGAGGGGGGAGGACACCCGAGGGCAATCAAACACGCTCCCTGCTGGTGTGGCGTGGTGTCTTGGCTAAGAAAGGAGTGGGAGAAGAGAAGGAGCCAGAATAAGGCCGGAACGGGTTTTTTTGTCATCCCTGCGCTCGCTGGGTGACTGATGATGGGTGATGCGGTGGTGTGTGGGTGTACACTTTCCAGGCAATGACTGGTGTGTGGGTGTGAACTTTCCAGACAATGACTGGTGTGTGGGTGTACACTTTCCAGGCAATGGGGCTTACTGCAAGCAAGTAAGCAAGCGAGTGGTGGCAGTTGGAGGCGGGTACTCATGCTTGAGAGAAGCATTGGATCAGAGTGGAGTGGAGCAGAGAGGGGGCTTTCTTTCGTTGCTTCAAAGAAGCATCAACCACCTTCTTTGCAATAGTGTGATGAAGAAAATGTTGAGACAGTGAAGGTATGCAAGCTGGGAACGAGAGCAGAGCACTCTGTGTTGCACGCAGGGAGGCGGACTGTTGGGAAGTTACCAGGGATTCTGACACCTGTCAACCACCTGCTTTGCGATAGTGTGATGAAGACAATGCACACAAGACGGGATTAGAGAGCAGGCAGGCGGACTGTTGGTTGGGAAGTTAGAAGGCTGCTAGAGATTCCGGTCAAGTGCAAACTAATCTTTACCAATCTTTATCGGGGTGGGAGGAGAGCTAGGCAGAGTGCTCTGCTCTATGGCAGACAGAGTCACTTAGCACTAGAAGCTGTTAAAGCTTCACACTTTCGGTTTAGGTCCGTGCTTGTTTGTTCTCACATCACAAACCGCTTGTTTAATTCCTCCCCTCCCCTTCCCCACTCCTCCCCCCCTCCCTTTCCCACCTCCCTTTCCCCCTCCTCACCTTTCCCCCCACTCTTACCCCTCTTATCCCTGTGTCAACTACCTAATAACCCAACTCCCCTGTAAGCAGGGGTTCTATAGTAGGTGTGTTTGTCAGGGTGTATACGGTATGAAGCAAATCTTTTCTGAAAAGGCACCTGTGCATATCTTATTTGATCTGACTTTCACAGCTGTCATAAAACAGCCTTCCAAACACATCATCTGCAAGGAATACGGTGGTACCTACTGAATTAGGCATCTGGTCTGGTCCGCTTACATCACACATAAGGATTGGAACACAGAGTGAATAGCGTAATAATGTTTTGATGTCATACATACAAACCGGAGTCTCACATCTTACGTACGGGTTACGGAATATGATCCACCCGTATGCTAAAAGTCACCCGCTTGGCTGCAATCTGAATGAACCGGCCCTTCAGAAACTTGTACAGATGCTTTTATGTAGACCCATGCGCACTCCCATGCGCACTCCCATGCGCATTCCCATTCCCACGCGCATTCCCATTCCCATTCCCATTCCCATTCCCATTCCCATTCCCATGCGCATTCCACGAGCGTACGGGTGTTGATCTTGATGCTGATCACGAAGCCGGGACCATTGCTCCTCCTCCTCAAGTGGCTGCTCGGAACGAGGATCACGTGTTGTGTTGACTGTCCATCATTCTACACACCACCATCCATGCCACCATGCGCGCGAATGGCAGCATGGGCCTTCTCCTCCGGCCCCACAGGAGCTTCCAAGAAGGGGTACCTACGAAATTTCGGCTGCTTCCCAAGGGCGGCGTTGCTCATATTCCTCTCTCCTCAGACCCTCTTCTCCACCAGATTCCTTTTCCTCACACTCTGTCTCGCACACTCTCTCACACACCCTCTCGCACTCTCTCTCTCTCTCTCTCTCTCTCTCTCTCTCTCTCTCTCTCTCACACGCATCTCTCTCAAACTCCTCTCTGTCTGAGTTTCCTGTCTTCGTCCGCCCCCCCCACCTCAAAAACCCCACACTCACGCACTCGCGCTCTGCCGGATTTGCTAGTAACGCTAGCAGTTGCTGTATTCCTTGCACCACCACTGACCCTCTCACGCACTCGATCTCTGCCAGATCTGCTAGTAACGCTGGCAGGTGCTGCTCGCAATGCTGCTGAAGCTGAAGCTGGTGCTGTAGTCCTTGCACCACCACTGACCCTCTCACGCACCCTCCCACTCAATCTCTTAATCACCCTCTCACTGGTAGTGGCACTGGTACTGTCACCGTCAGTGGAATACCAGGGGAACCCACTGCTGATGCTGCTCGCAATGCTGCTGAAGCTGAAACTGCTGCTTCTTCTCCGCGCCCCACCCTTGCTTCTCTGCTCCTCCTCCTCCTCCTCCTCACTCACTTCTTCTCCTCCCTCTCTCAACTCCTCCTTGTCTGAAGGCTGACCATTCCCAGGTGCCTCATCGCTCAACCCACTGCCACTCGCACAACCACTGCCTTGCTGCAGCGCCTCAAGAGATGCTACTGCCTCATCGCCCTTCCCTCTGCCACTCCCCCTGCTGGAGCTTCTCTGAAGCTGCCTGCTCCATCGACCACTGAGCCTGCTACCGATGCTGCCACCGACGCTGCTACCGATGCTGCTACCGATGCTGCTGCTGATGCTGGTTCGGAGGCCGCTCTTGATAGAGCTGGTAAGGGATATGCTTCTCCTCATGACCGTGCTGCTGCTGCTACTCCGGTTGCGGCTCGCTTGCATGTTACCTCGAGTGTTGCTCTCCTGCTTCTTTTCCTCCTGCGCTACTCCCTCCTTCCTCTCCTTCCGCTCTTCCGTTCTCCCCTCCTTCATTTCCTCCTTCATTTCATTCCTCTCCTCCTCCCTCTCCTCCCTCTCCTTCCTCTCCTTCCTCTCCTGACATATAATCTCAGAGTTGAGCTCTTCCCACCATCCGAATGATATTACCCTAGGCAGATCAGTGTCAGATTTGCACCCGATAACGCTCGGGCTCTTTCTCCCTTCCTTCCCCCCATTCGTATCCCCATCGACAGCATAAGGAGCGGGTGCACGACAAGGCGGAACGGCATGCGGCTGGGCGGGATGGGGGGGGGAGGCACAAGGGCTCGGCAATTTGGGAGTGGCGATGGCGGAAGAGCGGGGAGAAGCACGCGGGCTGAGTGGCTTGGGAGTGGGGACGGTAGCAGAGCGGGGAAAAGCATGGGGGCTGAGTGGCATGAGAGTGGCGAGGGCAGCAGAGCGGGGAGAAGCACGCGGGCTGAGTGGTTTCATAGTGGTGAGGTCAGCAGTGCGCAAGCTTCTCAACCCATTTTCGTTGCTCAGCTGACTGTTGCTGCTTGGCTGGTTGCCGCTGTTACTCTGCTCCCTGCTGCTACTCTGCTCCCTGCTGTTACTCTGCTCCCTGCTGTTACTCTGCTCCCTGCTGCTACTCTGCTCCCTGCTGTTACTCTGCTCTCTGCTGCTACTATGCTCCTTGCTGTTACCCACGTTGCTGGTACTGCTGCTCGCGTGGTGGTTGCGAACCCGCCTGTTGCTGATGGTACGACTGCGCAGCACAGCGCCATACAGCCCGATGAAATCATCGTCTGAGTCATCCTCTTCGCTTTCCGTCCCCTTCCCACGTTTCTGCTGCTGCTGCTGCTGCTGCTGCTGTTGCTGGAGTTGGTTTCGGTGTGGCTGTTGATCTCGCCGTTGCTTTTGCTGCCGATCCGGAGCACTGAAATCAACATAGAGATTCTGACTGCTGCAGAGGCCAGCATCCCCGTTATAGAGCTCCAAACGCAAGCTCCTGCTGCCCCACTTGCCGGACCAATCAGGCTCAGACGCAGGAAAGGTAGCAGCAGAGGCAGTGGGGGAGGCGGAGAGAGGCGAGCAGGGCGCACAGGAGGAGCGCAGGGAGAGAGAGCCTACGCGTGTGTGGCGCGGGTGGTGGGACGAGAGCGGGGAGAAGGCGGAGGGGTCGGAGGGAGCTAGTGCAGGGGAGTGTTGAGTCGACTCGAGGCATGCGTCTGGTCCAAGGGAGAGGGACCATGCGCGCTTGTGACGCGCGTGGGATGAGGGGCCAGAGGAGGGGGAGACGGGGGAGAGGGCGGAGAGGGCGGAGAGGGCGGAGTATGGCGATATGGGGGAGTCTTGAGTTGACTCAAGACGCGGGTGGGATTGCGGGGAGAGGGATTTAGCGTGCTTGTGACGCGGGTGGGACGAGGGGTCAGAGGGGGGGGAGACGGGGGAGTGAGCTGATGCGGGGGAGTGAAGGGAACGGGAAGGGCGCTGGGCGGAGTGGGCGGAGATGGGGGAGTGGGCGGAGAGGGGGGATTGGGCGGAGTGGGCGGAGAGGGCGGGGGGGGATTGGGAGGAGTGGGGGGGGTGGGTAGAGGGGGCCCAGAAGGGGGGGGATCGGGGGTAAGTCATGCTTCTGCTGCCAAAACCGGAGGGAGAGAAGCGGAAGTTGTCTGAAGGGTGGTGATGGTAAGTGTTGGAGCTAATTCTGCTGGGGAGCTGGTTCTCTGGCCTGCCACGTGGACTTCTCTCTGTTGGTGCTACTGCTTCTGCGGAACCCGATGCAGAAACGTGTGCATCGACCTCCTCGAAATGTGCTGTCCCATATAGGTCCGCTTCCATCCTCTCATCAGACCCTATATTACTAGAACCTGCTGCAGCGCTTGAGTTTCGAGACGTCTCAACACTACCAGAAACGTGTGCATCGAGCTCCTCTAAATGCTCTGCCCCATACAGATCCGCTTCCATCCTGTCACCAGAACCTATACTACTAGAACCTGCTGCAACGGCATTTTGTGCCGTGATAGAATTAACTGTAGCTCGTGCGGCTTTACTGTGTGCTGAGCTGGCGCTCTCTGCTGCTACCTTGCCATGATAAGAGCCCCCTTTATAAGAGTCCTCATTATAAGAGTCACCATTATAAAAGTCCCCATGGTAAGAGTCCCCGTTGTAAGAATCCCCATTGACAGAGTCGCCATTGAATGAGTCCCCGTTATAAGAGTCCCTGTGATAAGAGTCCATTCTTGAGCCAGCTGCAAAGTGCCCTTGTGTTCTGCCGTTTAGGCAGTCAATGGGCGGATTGCTTTGGGTGCTCTGGCTGTGACGGGGGGTGCTGTGGCTGCGGTTGCTGTAGCAGCCGCTGCCGGGTCGGGGACTGCTGTGGCTGACCCGGGGACTGCTGTGACTGACACGGGGACTGCTGTGACTGCGGTGATTGGGCCGAGGGCTGCTGTGACTGAAACGGGGGCTGTTGTCAATACTCTCAGCACCATCCCAAGCAGCAGCTGGTGCAGTGAAGGCATACCCCGTTATAGAAGACTCGACATTGATACTAGGCGGTGTCTTCTGGGCAGAGCTGAACTGATGGTTGAAAGTGCGGCAACGCGGCATGGTGAGGGCGCGTCCAGATTCAACGTCCTTGCTTTTGCACCTCGGACTGCTGTTAACGCCGGTGGCTCCGTTGCTGACGCCTCTGTTGGCGCCGCTGCTTAAGCCGCCGCCGCTCGTGTCAACGCTGCTGACGCAGCGGCGGTGGGTCGGGCGACGATTATTCTTAGCAGCTGGTGCCGACGAAGTTGCTGCTGCTGCTGCCGCGGGCGGAGCAGGCGTGCTCGGCACTGCTGCTTCCTGGCGATGATGCGAGTATGATCGGGGAAAAGGCTCGGAAAAATCATCGGCCGGCATGACACTGCCAGTGGTTGTAGACCCACATGATGGAGACGGCATGGCAGCAGCGGCACCAATGGTGAAGCTACGATGACGACGATGGTGCGTTTTCTTGGGCGTTTCGGAAGCGAGCAACGTTACTAAGTGGCTCGAGTCGGGCGATCGTGGGGGCGTTCTGATAAATCCACCACCAGTGGCAGTGGTGGATAACTGGAGCTCCCAAGGGTTTGAGAATGTCATTCTGAGAGCCACGAGCTTCGACTAAAAGTCAGAAAGTCACCCGGTCACGGACAGACTCACAAAAAGGGTCTTGTCTTACGGCGATCATGAGAGGCCTCAGCTGCTGGTCGTATGGCGAGTTTCCCCACGGCACGCAGCTCGGATGAACAGTCGTGCTACTAATCACTGGGAACAGTCGGTCTGGTACTCTCAGCAACCGTCGAAATTCGGAGCGGCAAGACTAGCATGTCCCGAGGAGCTAGATGGGTTTCCGAGTAGCGGTAACTTCCTTCTGGTCACATTCGGCGCTTCGACGACTTTTTTTTTTTTTTTTTTTTTCAGGCTGATCATTCGTGCTGCCCCCTGCCAGACCAATTATCAGAGCACTGGTCGGTAACTTGCCGTACACTTTTCTTTTCCGCCGCCCACTTTTGCTGACTTGCCGCCTCTCGCGAAGGCGGTGAATGGACGCGCCGCAGAAACCCAAGCAGGCAGCTCAAAGTCCCCAAGATCTTTGGGCGGGAATCCCAGCAGCCTGCCCGAGCAGTTTATTTCCGTTCCGTCAGCCTACGAAGCACGGAAAACCCGGAAGAATACTTCTCAGTCATTTTAGTTGGCTACTGACGAGATTTGAGCGATAGTGATTACAAACAGCTGCCACATTGGGAGTTTCAGGCAGAGACGACGGCTCCGCGTGAAGGGGACAGTGTGGTTGTGTAAAGCTTAGAAGCAAGTGCGAGCAATTACAAGCTGCTTTAATCAATTACTAAGTTAGTCTACCGCCTAGTTTACAAGCCACCCACACTTACGGACAGCTGTACAGTACTCTAATCTAATCCAACACAACACTTGCTGGCTATCCTGTGGGTCAGCTTGCCGTGTGCTGCGAACAGTTATCGCCTCGCCACCTGTTGTACCTTCTACACCTGCGAACAGTTATCGCCCCTTCACCCAGTTATTCGTTTATCTCACCAAGCGCGTTTCGGTCGGAGGTGCTTGTCCTTTTTGCCAGGTGCTTTTAACGTCTGCGAGTCACATTTCCCTGCGTATTGCCGTCCCTTGCTCCCAAAATGTGGCTATAAATACGTTTTTGCAACTGTAGGCCGGCCTGACCTAATCATGACTAATAAATTTGGCCTCGTCTTTAGCGCGAATGCGTGTAACTGTAGTGTTCTGCCACCAATTTTCTTCGACGTTTAGCAATTCAATGCTGAACTGATCACGCGTGTGAATCGATTCTATGTGACATAAACGCATCGCTCCCAACCTTCTATGTGAACGTACCAAGCCGGTAGCACAATCGCGGGTGCATCAAACGAATAAGTGGGTGTAGTAGCAACTTCTGTGTTTCAATGGTGTTCATCACGTGCGTTGGTGAACGGGGAAACCTCCACCTTGTAGGCAAGGTTGGTGACTGCTGGCAACTGGCTTGGCTATCTCGAAGCGGGCTTATCTCGACGAACTGCAGGCTGAGATATAGTGTACTGAGGGCGTGTAACTTTGCTTAGACCAAGCCCAAAATCCGACCGAATGGCCGGATCTGGCGAGAGCGAAACTTATAACGATTTGACGAGCCCCGCCAAACATTTCGAGCACAACGACCATTCTGTTCGCCAGGACGCGGAACAACCACCCTAAACCACCCTCGAAATTGGTCGGAAAAGGTTTGATCCCAGTTCCAGCATCGAACTGGGTGTGGAAAACAGTAGGCGCGGGTAGATTTGATTGTTCAGCAAAATAACGGTGGTATGAAAACGCGTTCGGGGGCGAAAACCGAATGTCAAACATGATCTCCTGCTAAGTAGAGTCCCGACTAGCTTGATGGGCAGGTTTATACGAAAGAATACCTTCCGATCTCTGTCGAGTCAGGGTGAGTACAGACTGTTTGCGTAACCCTACAAACTTCGCAATCGTCAGAACCGCTCATACGGTCGACCATTTTGTTTGGTCGGAGAAAAGTTACACGCCCTAAGGCCTCTCTGTTCACTCCCCTCCACTTTGTAACGCCTCCCTTCGGGGCATTTTTGAAAACGTTCGATGTTGCCAGGCTGGAGGGTGACATCCAACTGTACAAATGGACCAAACCCTTAGCGGGAAAGTATCAAACCGGACTGATTAGATTTAAAACTTAAGATTTCATTTCGCGACCCGTGGGCGGATACACGGGGTAATAGCACACGGATGAGCAAACTAGGGCGTGGAAACCGAGCCTCGTACGTTCCTGGCTCGTGTCAACTTCCGGTCTTCCGGGGAGACACAAAGCCGCCCCACAGGTGGCCCCACTTTGGGTCATCCGAGACCCACTTCGGGTCTTCCGGCTAAAATTCGCCCCTGGTCTCGGAAAACACAAAGTTTGACCGGAAGCTTGACACGAGCCAGGAATGCACCCTCAAGCCCCAGGCCCGCTTGACCCCCACGCGCTATAATTGTTATTTGGGAGGGGCCTTTACGTGTTTTCCTATGACATTCCAAAAATATATACTCTGTTCGTGGTAATTAGTGTTTTGTTATCACGAACATGATTGAGTATGTTCTTTTGACATTTAGCTAATTTCTATGTAAAACAAGAGATGAGAAAGCTGACATGCAGAGTGTTGCTGTGGAGTCTTGCAAGCATCGTCCAACCTGATGGAACACAACACAAGCTAGTTGAACACTGGTTATTCTAGCAGAGAAAAAGGCATGCACTTGTAGTACACACTTGTGATACTAGAGCACCATACTCTCGTTACCCAAAAAAGGCAATGCATTTATTGGTAAGTTTAACGTTTAAGGATTACGGAATGTGGTCCACCCGTATACTAAAGGACACCCTCTTGGCTGCAATCTGAATAAACCGTTCCTTTAGAAACATGTACGAATGCTTTGATGTGGACCTACGCGCATGCTCGTATTGATCTGGAGTCAACACATGATCGTGATCTCCATGTTCACGTGTTGACTTCTCTTCACCATCCATGCCACCACGCATGGCCCCATCCGTGCCACCATCCATGCCACCACGCATGGCCCCATGCATGACCCCATGCATTTCACCATGAACGGGTATCACACCATGCACCGCCTCCTCTGGCCCAGCAGAAGAAGCTTCCCGGAAGGGGTACGAGATGCCGGCTGCTTCCCAGGGACAACGTGGCTGGCTCCTCTCCCTCCTCACATCCTCCTCTTCCTCACACTCACCTCCATCCGAATCCCCTCCCTCTACCCCCCCACACACCTCCCTACACACGCTCGACCTCACTCCTGCGGCCGCAGCATCAGTGCCCCGGCGATCAGACGTGCCGCTTCCGGTGCTGCTGGCGCTGCTACCAAAGAATTGAACATTGCTGGTTTTACTGGTACTGCTGGCAACTGTCGCGACCTTGTCTCTCATGCTAACCCTGTCTTTAACAGTAGCAATGGCACTAGTGCTCTCACTGGCAATGGTGCTGGGGCTGTCACTGTCAGTGGAATACCACGGGAACCCGCTGCTAATGCTGCTCGCGATGCTGCTAATGCTGAAGCTCGCACTCCTCCTTCGCACTTCACCCTTCCTCCTCTGCTGCCACTCCTTCTCATTCACTCCTTTCTCATTCTCTGATGGTGACAGGGAGAAAAACATGATGCAGTGAACACTCTTACAAACGGATTCAAAATACATCATGACAGCTCCGCCATGGATTCCGCCTGACGGCTTTAAGATGCTCGCTTGTAAAGACCACGTGTCGGTTGGTTACAATGTTCACAGTTTCGGAACCGCCTTACTGTTACGAAGCTTAAGATACACTTCTTGTGTCCAACAGACGGACATTGTATCTTATGCCTCAAGGGGTCTGTTTCTCGTGTCAGCCACTGTTACCAAGGTCTCGCGACAGTTTCCATGGCTGATCAGTGCGGCAAGGTCAAGGGTTGACACCTGTTCATTGCGTTATCACCAAGGTTCCCGCTTCGGTTTGTGTCAAGAGCCATTATTGGCCGGTTATCTACTACAAGATTCTGGGAGCAAACTATTTTCAAGGACGTCATCTTCTCGGTGTTTCAAGTACAAGGATTTAAGCAATGGCAATGGTGATGCTGGATCAGTGCTCAGACTTTGGCCTTCACCACAGAGTGGTTTCCACATTGTGCCTGGTCATCATCACACCATGTCCAGGATGACGACCAGGAATGGAGGTGTTCGTCACACGGATACTCTGGCTGCCAACTCTCTGGATAAGACTAAGGAGGCGTCCGTCGTCACTGATGCTTCAGCATCATCGGCTGTCAAACGTACTTCGGACCTGTTTACGGAGACGGACAAGGACGCGCTTCAGCCGGGTGTGACGGCGCAGCGTGTGCTGGAGGCCGCGCGGAGTTTAACGGGTTCGGCGGTCCCTGCTGCTACGGCGACTTCTACGGATGGTGCTGATAAGCCTGTGCCTGCAGATGGTGCGGGAGGCAACAATGAGAATCAGGAGAAGCGTCATGCTACGACGACTGTTACGGCTACGGATGATGAAGACGAAGATGACGGGTACCTCAGTGATGACCCGGAAGAGCGGTATGACGCGTCCGCGAAGAACGAGGTTGCTCAGCGTGTTCGTTTCGCCATAATCCTGCTGATCCCTCTAGCCTTCAAGCCGGAGGTGACGCGGGTTCAGGCGACTCTACGCGCGCTTTTCACCCTGTGGAAGAAGGAGCTGAAGTTTGAGATCCAAGGAGAGACAAAGTTTCAGGAGCTGTCTGTGGTATACCTGAACAAGAAGCAGTACAGCCGGCTGCAAGTCACCTTTGAGCGTGCTCGGGACGCGAACTTCGTTTGGAAGCACGGTATTGTGCACGTGTGTCTGGATGGAAAGCGGATCAGCCTCGACTGGCAGCACCCGGTGGATCCTGCGTACGTGAAGGCGCGAGCGGCTGATCCATCGTTGGTGGAGGTCCTGTTTAAGGAGGTGGATGCTGTTGTCACGCCTGAGATGTTGCGGGAAATGCTGGTGACGGTGAGGTTGGAGAAGAGGGGAAGGTCGGCGTTTAAGGAAGGTTTTTGCTTTCATCGGGTGGTCAACCCTGTTACGGGGATGGATACGGATAAGGTAAAGGGACTGGTGAAGCAACATGCTGGGGACAAGTATCGCTGGCGTCATATGATCGAAGATCCGAGGGCGCATGACAAGCAGCTTATGGTCCACTACCCCTCCCAGAGCTGTGTTTACTGCTCTGGGTTTCATATGTCAAGGTATCATGATGACTACGTAGCGGATCAGAAAAACAACATCGGCAAGTGGAGCCTGTCACTGGGACGGGTGCATGGGATCAATGGTAATGGTTGGTGCTTTCTGACTGCTCACCTGCTGCTGCTGTTTTTGTGGTGGAGTGATGCTAACGTTGTGGATGTGTCGGATCCGCGCAGCCGCCTCAGTCCAGATCACAGATCTGACCAGGCTTATCTTGAAAGACCCGGCGGTGGTGCTGATCTCGACTGGAGCGAACCACGAGGAATGGATCTGCGTGCAGGAGTGCTGCGAGAAGGCGAATGGGGTTACCTTTGCTCAGGCGGCAGAGCATGTGGTCTCACAGAGGCACAGCGATGGAGTGACGGCTGGCTTTGCATCGCGCGCCTCAAAGGCTGGCGTGGCGTTGCAGGCGGCGAAGAAGGAGTTCGGAGTGTGATGTCGATCTGCGGCCAGGCTGTGGGGGATGGTGGTGTCAGAGCATCTCAAACTGGAAGAATGGAGAGGGTAGTGAGGCATAGCTGTGGTGTTGGTTTTTCTTGTTGTACCCCAGGAGTTACAATCGGAGTTCCAGCTGCAGTATCATTGCCCTGTGGATGCAAGGGGGGCTTAATGGCGGTTATCCAATGAGTAACACCAACCGTCTCTCCATCATGACCCTGAACGTCAACGGTTTGGGGAGCGAAGGGAAGCGGCAAAAATTAAAGAGATGGATTAAAACAGCAGCAGACGTGGTGGTTTTAGCGGATACAAGAGTGGCAGAAGATCACAATTTCTGGACGGAATTACAACCTCACAGTGTGGCTGCTGCTGGTGCACCCACCAGGGCAGGTGGGGTGGCCATTCTGAGCTTCCGGGATGGGGTGGTTATTGAGGATGTCCACCGACATGCGTCGGGTAGGCTGCTCCATGCGAGGGTGCGGTGGGGCGCAAGGCAGCTGAGATTGTTGGCGGTGTATTTCCCAGCGCAGGCTCCGCCAAGGGGTAGTTTCTTGGGGTCGGAGTTCAGTGCTTTTGCCGCAGGCCTGCCAAAGGGGGAACAGCAGATGGTAGCGGGTGATTTCAACATGATCGAGGATCCAGTGCTAGACAAATCAAATCGGCAAGGTGTGGTTGGTGATAACAACAGAATGATGCACATGCTGCAAGGTTTCCAGCTGAGGGACGTGTTCAGGGAGTTTAATCCGGACGAACGGCAGTTTACCTTCTTCTGCGGTTCTGCGAAAGTCAGCTCTCGGATTGACAGGGTGCTGGACTCACAAGCGCTGCTACATCTGGTGTCCAGGGTGGCGCATCGTAAGATCCCGAAGGGGATTACGGACCACAAGTGCGGCGCCTGCGTGCGGATGGCGTGGAGAGGTGCGCAGGGGCCCGGGCCGGGTGTCTGGCGCTTTCCGGCGAGGCTGGCGAAACGCCCCGGTGTTGCGGTGGTGGTGGCAGAGGTGGTCCGGAAGCATGAAGCGGAAGGGGGTGGTGACTTCGACAAGCTATCCAAACGTCTGGGAGCCCGCCTGCGCAAGTATGATAAGGAGGAGAGAAGGCGGGTTAGGCGGACCCGGCGTACATTGGAGGAGCAAGTGAACTCACTGCAACAGAAAGCCATGGCGGATCCGAGTGATGATACGTTACAGGCAGTGTTGGCGAGCAAGGAGGCGATGTTGGAGAGGTACTGGGACGGTCGGAGGAGTCTCCTGCAAACGAGGACGGGTCTGCGGGTGCAGCTTAATGGTGAGGCACCCACTGCTCTTCTGTCGGCACTGGTCAAAAGCAGGAAAGCGAAGTCGGGGATTAAAGAGCTGGTTCGTAACGGCGTGAGTCACACAGAGGCTCGGGAGGTCCTAGCAGCGGCCACTAGCCATTTCGCGGAGGTCTTTGGTGAGCAGTCAGGGGGTGATGGGGCAGAGCCGGCGTTGGAATGGGCCCCGCGTAGGATCCTTGAGGAGGCATCTGCCGAAGTCATATCAAGGGACTGGACAGAGGCAGAGGTTAAGCAAGCTATACGTGAGTTGACCAACGGCAAGTCACCTGGCGGCGACGGTATCCCAAAGGAGCTTTTCCAGTACCAGTGGGAGTTGCTGAAGAAGCCGGTGATGAGTATGGTCGAAGAGTTCGTGTCGTCGGGGAAACTGCCGGATGTGGCAAACGAAGCTGTCACGATTCTGCTTTACAAGAAGGGGGAGGAGACGGATGTCAGGAACTACAGGCCAATAACGCTTCTGACTAGCATCTACAAGATCCTGGCGAAGGTGGTGGCGACCAGGATGGAAGCAGTACTGGATCAAGTGATTTCTAAGGAGCAGTTCGGTTTCTTACCTGACAGGCGGCTTGCAGACGCGGTGTCGCTAGTAGCTGATATGATCGAGACGGCCAGGAACGTAGGCAGCGATTGGTATTTGCTCCTCATCGATTTCGAAAAAGCGTACGATTCGGTACGGAGGGGTTACATGCTGGAGACGATTGGCAGGCTCGGCTTTCCTCCTCGTTTTGTGGGGTGGATTGAGTCTCTGCACAAGGATGTACACACGAAGTTATGCATCAACGGGTGGGTTGGTGACCAGATTCAGATGCAGAAAGGGGTGCGGCAAGGGTGCCCGCTAGCGCCGTACCTGTTCTTGTGCGCGGTGGAGCCTCTTAGCCGCCTGGTGGAGAAGAAGGAGCTGGGGATCGGAGAGAAGGGCTGCGAAAGGCTCGTGTACGTGGGGTACGCCGATGATACCACGCTGCTGCTGGAAGGAGAGGCGCAGTTGTCGGAAGCAGGAGCGGTACTCCAAGAATTTGCGGTAGTGTCAGGGCTGAAGGTGAACACTGGGAAGTCTGCCGTGCTGCCGCTGGGGAAGAATGTGGGGGAACCGGCGCCGCCTGGTCTGGGCTACAAGTGGTTGGAGGAAAAGACTGCAGAAAGGTTGTTGGGGGTGTGGATAACACCTGGGGGGGACGCAGAGGTTACATGGGAAAAGGCCTTCGACAGGGTGGCAGGGGAATTGAGTAAATGGCAGGTGAAGTACTTAACGACGGGCGCGAGAGTGACCATTATCAACAGCTATATCATCCCGATCTTTCTCTTCCAGGCGCAGGTGTATCCTCCAGATGACCTGCTGTGGAGGAGGGTGGAGAAGTTGATTGAGAATTTTGTGTCGGGGAACAATGCGGATACGGAGAAGCATTTCAGATTATGGAGCGGCGGGCTGATTTACGTGCCGAGAGAGCTAGGGGGTCTGGGGGTAATTGACCCACGTGGAAGGGTTGACAGCGTGGCCTTACGGTGTGCGGGTCTAACGCTGTTGCAAGAGTGCTCCTTACGTCGAGGGCTGGCGGAACGAGCGGCGGGCTTGCCTCTGGGGTGGGCGACGCTGTATGCACACAAGGCGGTGCTGAAAGGGGGACTGATACGTAGCAGGAGGTGGGCGAGGATCTGTAAAGCGGTGATCAAGTCGACAGTGGTGGAGGTGAAAGAAGCGTCATCGAGATGGGAGGCGGCGGAGGAATTCCTTTGCTTTAACAAATGGGTTATTCACCGGGGGAATGCTCCGTTTGGCGGGCAGAAAGGCACTGAGAAGTTGAGAAACTGGAAGATGCGGGATATGGTTCTACGGAAGTGGGACGGCACGGTGGTTCTGAAGTCAAAAGAAACTCTGGCAAGGGAGCTGGGGGGCGAAAAGGAAGCAGAGATGGCGCTCAAGGCGTTTGCGGCAGCTCCAGAGCAATGGAGGAAGTGGCTGCTGGCGCCTCTGACGGCGGATGAAGTTGCAGCTGCGTCACCGGTGGTGTGCACCAAGCTTCCGGGTGGTCAACGGTGTCTATGGGAGATCAGCGCTTGCATGGGAAGGAAAGTCGAGCTAAGTGGCCTGGACGGGAGAGGGGAGCGCACGGCATGGAAGGTCAAAATTGTGCTAGGTTGTGACAGTGTGGTGCCTGTGGTGCTCTCCAAGACACGGGCGGTGAGGGAACTTGGGGACGCTAGGGCGCGGTTGCTGGGATCGGCCCTGGTTGAGGAAGACAAGGTGGCCCCGCTAAAGCGGCTCAGGGAGCAGAGCAAGAACTCGGAAGCGGTAGAGGCGAAGAGGGCGAGCTGGGAAGCTCGGGCGGGCAGAAAGATCGACTGGGAAAGGGGGAGGCGCATCAGAGACTCCCTGGTTACTCCACTGCGTGCGCGGGACGTGCTGCTCTGGGTGCAGAATCTGAACCTCCAAGTGGGGGAGAGGGTTCCGTTCCTGCGAGGGGGAGACGCGTGTCCGCTCTGCGGGAAGAAGGAGACACTGGAGCACTGTTTGCTGGAGTGCTCGCGGGTTGCGCCGGTGGTGTGCGCTGTCAAGACAGCGCTCGGCATGATGCAACCAGCGAGACACGTGGACCAGCTGGCGGACCTGTTGTTCGGGAAGGAGGTGACGAAGTCCGGTTTTCCGGAAGCAACATTGGTGGCGGTGGCGGTGTATCAGATCTGGTTGGGGAGGTGTGATGTGTCACTGCAGAAAACGAGGAAGTTTCTGGTTCGGAAGGTGCTTCGGAAAATTAACGTGGAATTCAACAAACACGTAAGGGTCTACTGTAGCTGTCCTAGTAAGCGGGCACGAAGAGATAGGGCGAGGTGGAACTTGGCCGAGGACGAGGCACGTGTCATGAAGCGGATTTGTGACAACGGTGTAGTAGGGCTGAGGTGGCAGGATGGCTTCCAGTCCATATGGACGAACCCGAGGACTTTCATGAAACCACCGTAGCCTCGTGGGGAGGGCTAGGTTCCTGCCTGGCTGAGCCCTTCAGACACAGTTACGACTGTTGTGTTTTGCTTGTACTCTCTTGTGTATAAGCTTTCACTAAAAAAAAAAACAAAAACAAAAAAAAAACTCCTTTCCCTCCCACATCCACACCTCTCGCCTTCGACTTCTCCTTGTTTGAAGGCTGACAAATCTCTGGTGCCTTATCGCCCTTCGCGCTGCCATTCAAGCAGCTAGTGCCTGTTAGAGGACTGGCAGTACTCTCACGAACTGCCTCTCCCTCCTTCTCTCTGCCATTCGCGCTGCTGGCGCTTCTCTGTAGCTGCCGGCTCCACTTGCTACCGAGCCTGCCGCCGATGCTGCTACCGATGCTGCTGCTGATGCTGGTTCGGATGCCACTCCTGAAGCTGCTGGTGAGGGATATGCTTCTCCGCATGACCGCGCCGCTGCTGCTGCGCTGGTTGCAGCTCACATGCATGTTACCTTGAGTGTTCCTCTCCTGCTTCGATTCCTCCTTCAATTCTCTTTTGTTCTCCTCCTTCCACTCTTTCCTCGCTTCATTTCTCTCCTCCTTCCTCTCCTCTTTCCTTTCCTTCCTTTCTTCCTTCCCCTCTTTCTTGGCCCCCTTACTCTCCTTCCTTTCCTCCTCCTCCTTCCTCTCCTCCTTCCTCTCCTTCCTCCCCTCCTTCCTCCTTTCCCTCATCCCCATTGTCTCTGCGACGGGAGCAACAGGAGAAGGAATAGGACGGGGTGGAATGGCGTGGGGGTGGCTGGGATGTGGGGAAGAAGCATGGAGGCTGAGAGGTCCGGGAGAGGCGAGTGCAGTCTTGCGGCCACCCCGCTGCTGGTTACTGTTACCATTACTCAGATGGTTACCATTACTCAGATGGTTACCATTACTCAGCTGGTTACCATTACTCAGCTGATTACTGTTACTCAGCTGGTTACTGTTACTCAGCTGGTTACCGTTGCACGGGTGGTTACTGTTACTCAGCTGGTTACCGTTAAGCAGGTGGTTACTGTTACTCAGCTGGCTGCTGCTGCTACTGCTGCTGCTGCTATTGCTGCTCAGCTGCTTGTGCGTCCACCGGTTGCTGCCGCCACGGCTGTGGAACACAGCGCCATACAGCCCGATAAAGTCATCGTCCGAGTTGGCAGCATCTTCTTCCCCTTGCTGCTCTTGCTGTTGCACTTGCTGCTGCTGCTGCTGTCGCAGTTGGTGCTGCTGGTGCTGCTGCTGCTGTTGCTGATGCTGTTGCATTTGCTGCTGATGCATCAACCCAACAGCACCATAGAGGCCAAAGGCATGATCGACTAACTCATTGCATGCATCTCCTTCCCGGTCCGCCAGCTCTTTCCGACAACCATGGGGCAGCAAAGAACCTTGGGAATGGGTCTGCTGCTGCTGCTGCTGCTGCTGCTGCTGTTGCTGCTGCTGGGGTTGGTTTTGGTAATGATTTCGCTGCTGCCGTGGATCTTGCAGTTGCTTCTGCTTCTGCTTCTGATCCAGAGCATCAAAATCATAGGGATGCTGCAAGCTGCAGGGGCTAGCATCCGCGTTATAGAGCTCCATGTGAAAGCTCCTGCTGCCCCACCTGCGCGACCACCCAGGCTCAGAAGCCGGGGACGGAGCAGCAGAGGCACCACCGGGGGAAGCGAAGAGAGGCGAGCAGGGCATATGGGAGGGCCGCAGGGCGAGAGAGCCTGTGCGCGTGTGGTGCGGCCTTGATGAAGGGGCGGGGACAGCAGAGAGGGGGGAGAAGAGGGCGGAGTGTGTGGAGAGGTGGGAGAGCGCGGAGTGAGCTGACAAGGGGGAGTCGTGAGTTGATTCAAGACTGGCAGTTGATTGCAGGGAGAGAGAGTGCATGCGCGCATGGCGCGGCTGTGACGAGGGGCTGGGGAAGGGGGAGAGGGCGGAGTGAGCTGATGTGCGGGAGAGGAGGGAATGGGAAGGAGACTGGGGGGAGTGGGCGGAGATGGGGGAGTGGGCGGAATAAGCGGAGATGGGGGAGTGGGCGGAGTAGGCAGAGGTGGGGGAGTGAGTGGAGATGGGGGAGTGGGCGGAGGGGGCCCAGAACGGGGGAGATGGGGGGGAAGGAAAGCTTCTGCTGCCAGGAATGGAATGCGGGAAGCGGAAGTTGTTGGAGGGGTGAAACTGGTAACCGTTGGAGCTGCTTCTGGGCGGCGGGTGCTTCTCTGACCTGCCACGTGGACTGCTCCCTGGCATGCAACGTGGATTGCTCTCAGGCATGCCACGTGGAGAAGCTGTGCTGGCAGTTGATGGGATCGGCAGGGGGGCGATGTCCGTGGCTTCAGATGCAACAACGAGTGATGGAATCTTACCCAACTGCTGCCAACGCTGCTCCAGCTGCTGTTGCTGCTGCTGCTGCTGCTGATGATGATGATGGTCGTGCTTCTGCTGCTGCTGGTGGTAGTGATACTGCTGCTGTGGCTGCTGGTGGTGCTGGTGCTCGGTTGGTCGTCTTGATGCAGCGAGTGAGGCAGATAACACGGAAGTCGACGAATACGAGGAGAGCGATACACGTGCTGCTCCTGTTTCTGTCGGTACTACCGCTTCTGCTGGACCCGGCGCACGTGCCGCCTGTTGACCAATCGACTGCATGCGAGATTGTCGCACGACGGTACGCGCTGCTCCAATCGGCCATCTCCCGCCCAGCAAATGCTGCGACACCCCTGAATTATCACCAGAAGTCCCACCTGACTTTCCACCTGAACCCCCAACTGAAGCTGCACCTGAAATCTCAGCTGCAGTAGAATTATTAGTACCTCGTGCGGCTTTATGTGCAGGGCTGGAGCTTGCTGACGGTATCTTGCCATTATAGGAGTCCCCATGATAACTGTCCGTACGGGAACCTGTTGCCACGTGTCCTTGCTTTCTGCCAGCCTGGCAGCTACTGGAAGGGCTGCTTTGGGTGCTGTGGCGGTGCTGTGGGCTGCTGCGGTTGCTGTAGCGGCCGCTGCCGTGTTGGGGACTGCTGAGCTTGAGCCCGGGCCTGCGGCTGTGACTACAGCGGGGGCTGTTGTTACTCTCAGCACCAGCCCAAGCAGCAGCTGGAGCGGTGAACGCATACCCCGTTATAGTGGACCCGACATTGACATTAGGAGATGTGTTCTCGCCAGAGCTGAACTGCTGGCTGAAAGTGCGACGCGGCGCCACGATGGCGCCGCGCTCTGACGCAACGTCCTTGCTTCCCCACCTCGGACTGCTGTTACCCGCGCCGCTCTTGACGCCGTTGCTGACGCCGCTGTTGACGCTGCTGCACGTGGGAACGCTGCTGACACAGCGGCGGTGGAACGGGGGACGATAATTCTTAGCAGCTGATGCCGACGTTGCCACTGTTGCTGGGGGCGACTTTTGAGGTGCCTCAAAATAACTCTTAGCTGATGCTGCTGACGTTGCCGCTGTTGCTGGGGGCGGAGCAGGTAGGCTGGGCGCAGACCGGGGGGGTCGGGTCGGAAACGACGTCGAAGATTCGCGTGCTGCTTCTTTGGGATGCGAATAGCGGGGGAAAAGCTCGGAAAAATCGTCGACTGGCATGACACTGCGGGCGGTAGTAGAAGTAGGTCCAGAATTTGGAAACGCCATCATCGCGGCAGCATTGCCAATGCTGGAGCTATGATGACGACGATGAAGCGTCTTCTTGGCCAATTCGGAAGCAAGCGATGTGAAGTGGCTTGAATCGGACGACTGTGAGAGCATTCCGATGGATCTTGTGGGTAGCTGGAGCTCCCAAGGGTTTGAGAATGTCATTCTTATAGCCCGAGCTTCGACTCAGAAAGTCGCGTCACGGACCGACTCACGGAATCCGACTTAGTACTGAAACGAGAGGCCTGCTGGGGCAGGATTTCGCACGACCCGTGACCTGTACGGAACTGCTGCAGGTCATAATAGTAGTGGTAAGTATCACTGAAAACAGTTTGTACCCCAGCGTCGAAGCCCGAAGAGAGAGCAAGTGCAGTATGTACTGTAGAGCTAGATAGTTCTCGGAATATCAGACTAAGGTGATGTCGCAGCGCGCGGCAGGCCCCATTCGGCGGTTCGGCGATTTCGAGGCTTGCTAATGATCTCATCCTGCCCCCTCGACCGCCCAATCATAGGAGCACATTTCCCATCTTGCCGTACTTTCTACCCTGCCCGCTGACTTGCCACATATCACATCTGATCCGACGTGTACAAAGGCGGTGAACCGACGCGTCGCAGCAGCCATCGCAACAGTCCCCACAGTCCCCGAGATTTACGCGCGGGAAGCTTTGTTGGCCACTCAGCCCGACCAATTCAGTGCAGTCGCCCTACGAAGGCTCGGGAAACCCGGAAGATTATATTCTCGCTCGCTTCGATTGGCGAATATTTAACGGACGAGATTTGAGCGATAGTGGTTACACCGGGAGTTTCAAGAGATGAAGGCTCCGCGTGAAGGGACTATGGCGGCCTGTGTTAGGGCTAGGGGGAAGCTAAGATTCAGATATGCAACCTCGCTGCTAAAGTCTTCTGTTCCCCCAGTTTGACATGCCGCCCACTAGGCTAGTCCGCCCTTGAAGTACTGTAGCTCGTGCAAGCGAGCCCCCCTTGGATCTGCTTGCCGTGTGCTGCGAACAGTTCACGCCTCCTGGCAGTCTCGCTGGCGGTACACGTGAGTCAGAGAAACCTGGGGAAGAGAACGGCAGATTGCATGCAAGGTTGGCGGATGATGCCATGCCACCTGGCTGGATGGTTGAGTTCGACTTTGCACACTCTCCCGGCGGTTTGCTCATCCCATCCAATTTGAAACGCCGCTGCTGGAGGGTCACATGACCATACCACTGGTCCAAGCACATGTACGATAACGCGTACACGTAGCGAACCACGTTCATGTTTTAGGAAAGCTCTTATATAATATTACCACAAAAGAAAAGCCAGAGTTATGGCACTGTTACGAGTGCAATTGAGTGAGCGAGCGAGAATTGCACTATCGAAGCAAGAGTACAATGAGCGAAGGCATGAGCGAAGAATATATAGCGAAACTACAGTGGTAACGGTAATAGACTGTGGTTGTCGCGCGACGGGCCTGGGACTGAGGTTTGGGGGAATGTCGAAGCGGAGGCCCGGAGCGCGGGTTACCCGCCGAGCCGTGAGGTCGGGGTGCAACGTGCGAAGGTGGCGGGAGGATCGTCGATGCGAGGGTTGCGAGTGGTAACGGTGCTGACTGTGGTGCTACAGTGGTGTACGCGCTGAGCGGGGACGCGAAGTAAGGAAAAAAAGGAATTTTCCTTACACTACCCCCCCCCCCCCCCGGGAGGTCCTCCTTACGAAAGCGCGTGTACATCCCTGAAGTTTCGGCTGCGCAGATACTCTGTGAGGACGGGGTGGTTTTCGACTCTGTCCAGGGGAACCCAGTTGTCTTCGGTAGGTGTACGGTCTTTCCAGCGGATCAGGAACTCGATCCTTCGGGCTCCTCGAGGGTCACGAACTCTGTGGCTCAGAATTTTCTCGTGTGCGATGATTGGTTCAGTCGACGATCGTGTCATGCTAGCTGGGCGATTACGTGGCAGTTGGCTTGTAGACCGTATGTAGGGGCGAAGTAAGCTGACGTGGAAGGACGGGCTGACGTACCAGTCAGCGGGGAGGAGGAGATGGGCAGTGACGGGCGTAATCATGTGGCTGATGCGGAATGGTCCACAGTATCGGGGGCGAAGTTTTGGGGTGATGGGCAGGTGGAGGTTCTGGGTGTCAAGTAAAACTAGGTCGTCGGGCTGGTAAGTAACAGGTCGGCGGTGGCGGTCGGCGTTACGTTTAGCGATGATGTTCGATTTTTTTATTGCGTCTGCTGCCCGGGTCCGTGCTGCTTGTAAAATTTCGGCGAACTGTTGTGCTCATGGCACCGGGTTGTCGGGATTCGGGGTCATGGGTACTGTCGGGTCTTGTCCGTAGTTCATGTAAAACGGCGACTGTTGGGTTGTGGCGGAGGGTGAGTTATTGTACGCGAATTCAATGAGCGGCAGTTGCTGTTCCCAAGTGGTTGGGTTGTCGCACGTGGCTCGAATGAGTTGTTCCATTGTCTGATTTGTCCTCTCTGTCTGTCCGTCGGTCTCGGGGTGGTATGAAGAGCTGAACTGTAGTCGCGTGCCGAATTGTTGCCACAGGTTCCGCCAGAAGTTGCTAGTGAATTTCGTGTCTTGGTCGCTGATGATCGCCGCTGGTATCCCGTGCAGTCGAACGACGGTGGAGATGAAGAGGCGTGCGGTTTCTTCGGCTGTGATTGATTTTTTGCAAGCTGCGAAGTGTGCCATTTTTGTCAGTCGGTCGACGACGACCAGGATCGCGTCGTTCCCATTTGCCCCGGCCGGTAACCTCGTGACGAAATCCATCGTCACCTGCTGCCAAGCACGCTCTGGGGGTGGTATCGGCTGGAATTGTCCTGTCGGCCGCTTCCGTGATGATTTCATGAGCTAGCAAGTGGGACACGATGCCACGTGTCGTTGTACGTTGGTCAACATCTCGGGCCAGTAATAATACCGCTGCAGCTGCTGCCGTGTTTTCTCTACCCCGAAATGCCCTGAGGTAACTCCGTCGTGTGCCTCCTGTAACAATAACTCCCGTAGCAGTGTGTATCCTGGTACCCAGATGCGGTCGGTCCCGACTTTTACGTAATAGACTCCCTTTGCTGCTGCGAACTGCTGCGAATTTCCTCCTGTGAAGAATGGGTCCGTTTGGTACCCGTGGGTAAATAGGCCTGTCAGTAGTGGATTTGTCTGGGCGAGTATTATTGCGTGGATCTGGGCAGTGGGGCGGGTCAGGGCGTCAGCGATGTTCGATGCCCCCTTTTTGTAGGTGACTGTGTAGTAGAAATTTGACTCGAGGAAATCGAGCCAGCGGATCTGTCGTGGGTTGAGGTGTGGCTGTGCGCGGAGGTACTGTAGTGATTTATGGTCTGTCCGTACTGTCACGTTTGCGCCGGTCAAGTAACAACGCCATACTTTGAACGCGTGTACGATTGCAAGCATTTCGCGGTCGTGTATCGGGTAATTTTTCTCGGGCGAATGCAGTTTTCGTGACGCGTATGCGATGGGATGTAGGCCGTTGTCGAAGTCCTGTAGCAGTACGGCTCCGATGGCGATGTCGCTGGCGTCAGTAACTACTTCGAATGGGCGGTGTGCGTCGGCGATGCGCAGGACGGGCGGTGAACAGAGAACATTTTTCAGGGCAGAGAAGGCAGCATGCTCTTTCTCCCCCCACGTAAAAGCGACCCCCTTCCGTAACAAGTCCGTCAGCGGCGCTGTTAACCGTGCCATGTCGGGGACAAACCGACGCACGTAATTAACGAACCCCAAAAAGCTCTGTAGTTCCGTGATATTCGTCGGGGGGTGCCAGACTTTCACCGTGTCCAACTTCTTTGGGTCAATTTCGACCCCAGCCTCCGAAATAACGTGCCCCCAAAACTCTAGCCTGTCCTGAAAAAACTCGCACTTGGAACCCTTTGTCAGTAGCCGATGCTCGTCTAAAATTTTAAAGACTGCTTCCAGATCTTTGAAGTGCTGCTGCTTATCGCGATTGTAGACGAGGATGTCGTCGAGGTAAACTATCACGCATTTATCTAAAAGTGGCCTAATCGCCTCGTTCATGGTCATCTGAAATGTCGCTAGTGCGTTGGTCAGCCCGAAAGGCATCACGCTGTACTCGAATGACCCGTACCTAGTCCGGAAAGCTGTTTTGGCGCAGTCCGATGATCCGACTCTAATCTGATGGTAACCTCCCCGTAAATCTATTTTCGAAAAAACCCGTGCTGTTCGCAGTTGGTCGATCAGTGTTGAAAGACTAAAGTTTAGTAGGCTTAGGAGCCATGGTAGTTAAGTGACTTAGTGGTGAAGTTCGAGGGTAAGGAAAATTGTCGAGAGAGTTGTGTGAGAGAATGATGGTTTCACTATAGGTTCAAGGGTACAAATATGAAAGAAGTGAAGCAAGGTGCACCACCTAACAAGCAAGATAACTACACTAAGTCTACATTGCAGGTAGTTATAAAGTGATGTATACAATAACATTCTGACACACCCCCTAACTGCCTGCAGTGAAGAACCATGTGCAGAAACACCCCTGGAAGGGGTACACCAAGCAGAGCGCAGCAGACAGAGAGGGCAAATGAGGAGGAGAGACTGTGGAGGAAGAGAAGATGCGAGGCAACGACTGAAGCTGCAGAGGCACGGGCACAGGAGCGGCTGACTCAGTGGCTACCGAAGCAAGGGCGACGGACTACTGGAGTGACTGGCTCCGCGGCTATAGACGAGCGGCAGGAGCAACGGACCCACTGGCGACTGGTGCAACAGGCTCACTGGCCACCGAAGCAAGGGCGACGGACTACAGGCGCTGCAGGCGACACGACAGCTACCTTCACACAACCTCCCCCAGCTGCCCCACTCCCCTCTCACACACTCCCTGTTCAAACCCTAGCTCCACTCCCACAGCACCCCCCTTGAACCCTAAACCCTAGGCTCCCACACACCCACCCCCCTCAGCGACAGCTGCAGCAGTGGGAGACGAGGGAGGAGGAGGAGCAAGGGGAGGAA